TTGGAAGACTGTCACTCGAAAACTAGTTGAGATCCGACCTTGAAATTTTAGTATGATATTTTTGAAGGTATAAACTTTCGAGAAATGCAAAAAAAGTTCGATTTTTTTTAAGTTTCACACTGCTAAAGTCCCTTAAGATCGTCTTAAGCATTTGCTATCCCTCTCTATCCCATATTTCCAGTCCCTGTCTTATACAGGAGACAGGGAATTAAGCATGTGCTTAAGGCGATCTTAAATCTAATGGCTCTGAATATCGACCATAGTCGTAACTCCAATCTCAAACGTGATCAGTACTTATTACGACGTTCGATCATTGAGAAACGTGATAAGAAATGGACGATGTCCTGTATTTCCTGTCGTCGTTGCATTCAATACTGTCGTTTTCTAGCAACATCTCTGCGAACGATCCGATATCGAGACGCGATGCGTTCCCCGCAGAAATTCCGACACCCGGATTCCTGTTAAGCAATCCCAATAGAACCCAAACCGTGGACTTCACATATTTGCGGTAGAAGAATATAAACGCTGTATGCAATGCATAAAACTATAGGAAATATCAGAAATGCATGAAGAAACCGTCTGAAATGCATTTTTCTTCTATAGGCCACGCGTAGCCCAAAGACTTCCCAATGGAGAAACAAAGAAACGCATTTTTTCTAACCGACCAACTGTACGTTGCACAGGAATCATCATAGATTCCGATTCCAACCAGTCTCACGCGGCACGGCTCGACGATGACTGTGCTCATTGTCCAGCACTTTCACGTGCAGCGAACGACGACGTCATTCCCACGATTTTTGTACGTGACTATCCTCCAGTTTTGTTTCCAACGAGAAGATGTGAGAACCTCATGAGAGAGAGGAAGAAAGCGTGTGCGTGTGCCCGCGTGAAAGAGGAAGAGAACGAGCGTGTGAAAGGTAACGGAAAACGAATGATCGATCGTTGCGAAACTCACGCGTTTCGATGCAGCGAAGACAATGAGGAAAGATCGACGAAGTGCATTCTGCTCATCTCCGATCACACGTACACACACCTATTTATTTGTACATTATTTTACGGAATAAACGTTTATCTTGAATCGATGGTCTTTTCTATTTGTTCCCAATGACCACTGAAACGATGGCACGTGGTAGTCGTCGGATCGGTACATATATTCGTGGTCCCGAGAGTCTAAGACCGGGCACAGTTCAATTTTTGATCGTTCTGCGCATCTCAATGCTTTACCGCGCATACTGAACCGTGTGGAGGGAGTTCGCTGCGACCACCATCCAAGGGTCTCGTAATTTATCCCACGAGGCTCGCTTCCCCTGTTTTTCGCCCGTATTTCGATCCCCACTACTATTCCCCTCATGCGTGCTCATGCGCGTTCGCGAAGCTCTCCGCAGCGGTACCGTGAAAATCAGTGCATACCCCTACCAACTATTGGTCCCCACCATGGTCGCGTCGTCCCCACTTTCCGGCCGAGGGATAAAAGATCCGACCCCTGCTGCCACCATCATCTTCCAAGCTGCGCGAAACGGTCCTAGACTCTCGGGACCGCAAGTATAGTACACACGTGTCTATGTTGACCGTATTTTCTTTTGAAGAAAATAGAGGACGAGACAAGTAAAGACTTGGATGCGACGCGAAGAACATACACGTTGCATTTTTTTCACGAACGAGAATAAAGAGGCGCATGACGTTCATTCCCTTTTTTTTATTGTCCTTCCATGACATGGTGCACAATACATAACGTTATATACATATATATATATATAATATAATCCATCTGTCATACGACAATCGATTTCTATATGTATAAAGACAGATTAGGTACTCATCACGTGGGTAGTGTCGCGTACAAACAAATACGTTGATAGTGAAAGAGAGTCGACGGCGACGGCCGAGTACATATGTGTAATATCAGTGATCCGAGACGAATTTAGACCTTTCATGTCGTGCAGAATGCTTTGTCCAAAATGAAAGAGAATAAATTCGCCTTTACGTCAGCGTTACGGTGCAATACACCGTTCTCATAGACGTACTGAAAACTTTTAGTTCAACAGGTAAGACAGATGAAGAGTCTACAGAATATAGTAGGATCGTTTAACGCTTAACGAACAGATGATAAATACACCCCCGTTCGATTACACGTCTCATAAGATTCATAAAATTTTTGAACAAAGGTCTACGAGATCGTCGACGGGTCGACGTAGGCCAATGATGGGGCACGAAATCCCTCACGAGCGATTTCCCCTCTTTTCTGGCTTCCCACCATAGTTACAAAAGGCCCTACCTACCCCTTCTACCGGCAAATTGACTCGATTCCCCTCTGTCACGCAGTGCGTTACGCCAGGCATGTTTCACTCATTTCTCCCTACTCCAACGGCTCTCCCCACCACGTGCAATAGTCAGAGTAACTCAGCGGACCATAATGCGCTCACACTACTTAATTCGTCCCCATCTAGGCTCCCACTGAAGGTCGTGTCACGACACCATTGGCTATGCCTGCGTTACGCTGTCCTCGCCAGAGGAAAATCGAGCCAATTTGCTAGTGGTAGGGGTAGGTAGGGCCTTTTGCTGGCAAGTATGCTCCCCACCAGCGCTGCCAGAATGTAGGATTTCTCCTCTTCCCGTGCTTTTTTTTCCCCCACATACGTTACCCATGATCATTGGGGATATCCATCGAACCGTATAATTTTTCCCGCACGGCTCGCTTCCCCTCTTTTTCGCCCGTATTTCGATTCCCACTACTATTCTCCTCATGCGCCTTCGCGAAGCGAACCTATCAAGTACCAGTCCCCACCATGGTCGCGTCGTCCCCACTTTCCGGCCGAAGGATAAATTATACGGTCCCTGGACATGTTTAATAATACGATATGTAAGTGGGGAGAGCACATCGAGCATACAGCAGCATACAGTAGTGGGGAGAGCACGGGAAGAGGAGAAATTCTACATTCTGACAGCGCTGCTCCCCACTACTATTCCCCTCTTGCGCCTTCGTCTTGCTTTTTCTCACTTTCACCATATGGTAGGTTACCCCCACTATCGTCGTGAGGGATTTCGTGCCCCACCACTGACGTAGGCATACGCGTGCAACGTGTACGACTGTACACGATCGAGAGAAGTCACGTTCCTTCCGTTCTTCTCCTCTTTAAATCGAATAAGTGTATTTTATAAGTGTATCAACAACATTTGGTACTCCTCATAATACTCGACATTAATTTCTTAATACGCATCACAGATATGTCGTTGTTCATAGAAAATAAAAACGTATATGTTCTTGAACTGAGGCGTGTGCCGATTCTGAAGTAGCCGAATCGAAAACGGCAAATTAATGATGCGGACGAAAAGGAAAGCGCAGTTTCTAACAGTTTCTAAGAACTTATTTCACATCTACGCGTAAACTCAGAAGAGCGCGTAGCCATTTTATTTTTTTATGCAACTCATTTTGCAATTTGTCGCAAGTGAAACTTCGACTCTGACGTTCCTAAATTACGTATCTCTATATGTAGCTTTAGGCTCTTCGCAGAACATTGAAATCGATTCCATACACTTGGCATCCGAGATAACAAACAATTTTTTTTTTTTGTTAAAATCAATCTCTGAGCGGACAATATTGGTCGATCTATCAATGGACAAACTCGATTTCCAGCACCGTCGGTTTTTCCAAAGAGAGTTTGACGTTAACAGTACGGAGGTAATAAACGGCGCTCAACGATATTAATGAACGTATATCGCAAGATCAGCACGCGAATCGTGCGCAACATCGTCAACTATAATATTGGTAATAGTAAACACGGTACGATATGTGGGAACATTGGAGTAATCACAAAAATATATAATTAACCGTCGCGGCATTTGGAGCCTGAACCGTGATAAACACCAACAATAACTTTGAACAGCCACCGTGAACCTTTACGCAAACTCGTACAATAAACGTTAAACTGGTAATTGTGCGTACTGCGTGATAGCTATGAATTTATTTATGTACGTCGATGCATCGAGCACCGTTTCCCTCGTAATTCAAACAGCAACGATTATTATTATTATTATTATTATTATTGTTATTGTTAATATTATTATTATTATTATTATTATTATTATTATTTGCAAACGTTGGAGCGTGATCAGTTTTAGCGCGGAGCTATTTTAAATTCTCTAAGTGAGGTAAGTTTAAAATTGCGTTGAAGCAATTAAAACGCAACGATCGTGTTATTACTCGAATTTTACCGCGACGCATACAAAAGATTCACTCGACTCTTCAAGTGTTCGCAGCAACAAGTGTTCGAAATAAACATTTCCTTAATAATACAATACGTATAATGGGTACACAGACGTATTACTCATAGCCAGAGAAACGTTTTATCGTTGAACACATTTACATGTACATGGAAATACGGTAACAAAATTTCAACGTTTTCTTACCTAAACGCATCAAGTACGTTCTAAAAATGCTTCTGATCACCAATTGCAATTAATCGTCATTGAAAATGAACCCTTCGACCGATATTTGAAATGACGAAATACAGAAAAACGAGTTTACATGTGAACTAAGGCCGGTATTCAGAGTCGTTACTTATATTTAAGATCACCTTAAGCATTTGCTTAAGTCCCTGTTTCCTATATAAAACAAAGAATGGAAATATGGGATAGATAGGGATAACAAATGCTCAAGATGGTCTTAAGAATAAGCAACGACTCTGAATAACGGCCTAAGCTTCGCAATGAAAACCCCGATCGCGTCGTCGATCGAACGACGGTAGGTGCCTCCTAAGTACCGATGCATATTCGTACAACTATGTGGAATGTAGCTACTCGAACGAACTAGCGTTACACGGAACCTTAACATTATCGAACGAGCGTCCCTGAGACGCGGTTTAAAAATAATCACCGGCTATGCAAAAACGATCGAACCGCGAGCGTCGCGACAGGGCCATCCGCCATCTTTGATACCGTGTACAAAATGTTCTCGACGTTCGCTGATTACATTCTCGCGGATCTTTGATCGACGAACGTTAAACTTCTATTGTACGTCCTAATCGTCAATCGCTGGTTTTCTTTAACAGGGATACACTTGAACTTACACCGTTATAGAAAACACATGGACGATAGATACGTGGCCGAGCGTCGTTAACGAATGTTGTACACGGTGCATAAAACACGACATACGTCGTGTACTCTGCTGATTCTCTTCGTTTCGTTTTCAATGCCTGTGTCTGGTTTGTACTGTACTTGAATTACCACGCGTAAGCAGCGCATGGTAACGACCGATCGAGGTTTCTCGCGATCGTCTCTCTCAAAGAACTCGAAAGGAACCTTAACGTCTTGCTATCGACCGTCTACCGTGACAACGCTACAGGTACGCCGTGCATTTGAGACTCAAGCGTCGTCACGAAACTCTAATAGATACACGCTGACGAGTGAAGTACGATCGCCGAACCATTCGATTCACGTTGATCGATCATCATTTGAACGTGTGAGCCTTGCCAAAGTATCGTCGCACGAAAACATCTACCAAACGAGTTATCCATTTTTTTCTCTTTAAATACCACAGACATGAAACGCAACGTAGAAAGAAAGAAAGAGAATATACGCTCCCGGTCTGAACCCATAATAGCCACTCGTCGCTGCTCTCAATGATACTTCTCTCTCGGTCGAGATGAACGAATTAAAATTTGATTCGAAGGAACGAGCCGATCGTCAACAAGTAGAATCGATCAACGAGTCCAGTGCTTTCTCTTTCTCGCCCTGCTTCCACAGTGAGCAGTCTCCTCCTTGTAACGCGATCCAAACCGGATGCACGTCGAATGCTCACCGATTCCTTCGTCTCACGCTTACTGGCTTAATCGTAGTTTTCCGATTCCTGTTGCACGAGCTTGAACCGACGGGGGCTCTTGACGCACATCGATCCGTGACCCTCCAACGAGAGCCGTCCTTTTCGCTGAAGGTATCTGGTTATATAACGCGCGACCAACTGTTGTGGTCTTATCTGCCACTCGTCAAGCACCTCCTTTGGTGCCATCACCTGAAAATTCCACGCATCGATCGGTACATGGCGCACGCGTTGAAATATTTCGAAAATGAAATGTTTCGACGAAGCTGTTCGACGAATCTACCTGGTCCCCTTTGAACCGGTCTATCAGCGTGACGCAGACGACGGCAGACTTGATACCGGCGAGATGGGTGAGGGCCGCGAACGCGATACTCTCCATCTCTATGTTGACCACACCGTTGCTGTGCAGCTCGTTGAGGTAGTCCATCCTTTCCTGTTCCGAGAACTCGCAGAACGCACCGTCCATTCGCGCTTGTCCCTCGTAGAAGTCGCACGTACACATCGTCTTGCCGACTATAGTGTCGTAAGGATCGTCGCGATGCGCGAGGGCCTTCAACTCTCGAGTCAGCTGCCGATCAAGCTTCGCGGGTCTTCTCACGAGTTTACCAAGCACAGGCTGGAAAATAAATACGTTGGCTGAAAATATGGGATAGACAGGGATAGGAAATTTTTAAGACGATCTTAAGAATAAGCAACAACTCTGAATATCGGCCAATATATTCGAAATGTTAATTTGTGTCAGAGGCCACCAGATGGCAATTCGTAATAAAACCCAACGGACTCACCACTTCCAAGTAAGTTCTCAGCATTCCGTCGACCGCTTCTTCGGAAATTACCACGGTACCACCTTCGACGTTGATACCACCGCAAGTACCGATCCTGAAGAATATCGGGTCCTTCACTTTCGCGTGATACATCAGCTTGATTACCTCGTGGAGCAGGATCCCGACCGACGGAATTCCCATTCCGTGCTAAACGTGATAAGAAAACGTTTTCGTTTCAGCTTGTTGCGGTTGGTGCCTGATGTAGCAAGGAAAGGGCTGCTACCCGTGACCTAATTTCCGCGACCGATATCGAGTGTACTCACGCTGATAGATAGCACCGGACCGACTTTGTACATGCTGTAACGGTATGAATACTGGCTGATGTCGAGGAGCGTCGTCCCGGCTGGAAGCTTGTGGCCTATCTCCTTCATTATGTAATGTGCGAATTGTTCCATGCGCTTCGGCGTTCCTCCCATGCAGACGAACTGGAAAGAAAGATCGTAACGAGATCAGCGAGAAATGGTCGCGTTGGCTCTTTAGGACAATTGCACATTGCAGCCTGCGTCGTAACGACGACCGTGTGTACTTTCGTTTACCTTAACGTCACCGAACATCTCGACGAGGTCGTGCGACCCGCTACCCAGCGCGAGATGGTACAGGATGTCCTGATCCATGAGCTCGATGTTCGGATTTCGGAGTCGCACGGATCCATCTATGTATCTACGTAAAAAGAAGAATGAAAAAGAAGATAGCAACGCACAAATATAGATTTAATCGCGTATGGGCGCTTCCTGTTTCTTCGATATATGTAATTATCTTATCCGAATCGATGAGTAATCTCTCTCCGTTACTTGGAACAGTTCTCTCGCTCTATTTCCATTTCTCTCTTGCAGTGACAATAAGCATCGGTATCGTTTCCTGTTTCAGACATCTCTGTAATTATTTTCTTTTCCGTTCCCCACCACCGGCCAATCGCGAACCGGACGTGACACGATCACGACAACTCGGGGCTCGGGTTTATCAGTTCTTCGCGAGTAGTTTGAAAAATTTCTAGGGTTACGACGATTATTCATTGATCATTATGGACGCGCTCGAAATCTCACGATGATGAACGAGTCAAATGTCAAATGACAGCGGACAATATTAAAAACTGTTACGTTGAGAATCGTTACACGTATACATATACACGTCATGTCTGATGACACTGTCCAACACAAAAAATTTTTGCAATATCCATCACGTGATTTTTATACAGTTTCTCGTGCCGAACACGAATCTGGAAACAGAATTGCTCTATCACGTACAGTTTCCGAAAAATCGTTGTATTTATAAAAATGCATGATTTTCGGGAGAAATGAGGTATTACATGAAAACTAAGAGAGTGAAGAAGTTCATTTTCTAACGAAAAGGTAGAGGAGACTTTCCACAATATATCCATGTAAACCACTTTTTGAATTCTTACTTCTTAATAGTTGTAAATAATTGTTGAAGCGAGTACTTGACACGTACTATTGGGTTGGCAACTAAGTGATTGCGAATTTTAAATAAGAAATTTAACGACAAATTCTGCAATTATTTAGTTGCCAACCCAACACTTTCGTATTTATGTGAAAATTCCTTTGCCAAGGAGGAATTTACTACACAGGATTGGATTCTACAGACATTTCTGATAAAGAAACCATTCAATATGGATATTTGTGTAATTCGTACCTCGGCAATTTACGAAGATATTAATCGACATCGCGGGTAGTCGTGCGGTCCTACCTACACTAACAACCTACAAGAGACAGTCGGAAGGAATGGGAGGATAGGTTTCCCTGGATTTTGGCCAGAAGGTGCCGGTTTCGACCATGAAGCGGGTTGAACCCAAACAGATTCGTGTCCGAACGGGGGACCCTGAGGCCTCCTGCTTCTACACGGTTTTTCCTATACTCTATCCTACTGACTACAGCTCTGGTTTCGCCCGTTTTTGAGTAGCCGGTCGCGGCACCGAACAGTGGGAATCCTCCTTGACGCGTGGTCACCGTGACCGGCCGAACCGACGACAGCGACGGAATTCGCAGCCTATTCGTCCGCAGAAGCGTTTAATTCCGGGAAATAAGAATGGAATGGAGACCGAGAGGCATACCTAACGGCAGGGTCGTATTCCTGTGTCTCCTCGTTGCTGGCAACGCCGTCGCGAGACTTCACTTGACACACGTGTTTTCCCTCGCCGAACATTTGTTTGTCACACGCGCAAGTAGGCATCCCGGTGAAACAAAGACCGCGGTCGTTCGTAGTAGAAACGAAAGAACCAACGGAAAACGATCCGGCCAGAAACTGAGACTCGCGTTTCCGGTTTAAAAGCGAAACGATCGGGAGAAGAGAATCAATTCCGGTCGTGACCTTTCGAGGAAACCAAGGACGGTCAGAAGAACTCGCCGAACAACTAGACCGGCGCTGGTCTCCGAATAGAAACTCGGCGATGCTTCGGGGAACTTTTATATTCCGATTCCGGATCGTGACACCGCCGTTCCCACCACTTCGTCGACGACGACGGACGCGAGCCAATCCAACACCCTCCACCGAATCGTGTACATGCAATCGTGTACGATTGTGTGCGCGCACCGAGAGTATGCATAATCTTGCTTGTCGACCGAGTCGTCAAGCCAAGTGTGACGATTGTCTTTGTTATTGGTTTTTTGTAAATTTTCGTATAGTCTTTGAGGCGAAGAGTGAAAGCGGGGAAGCGGTAAGGCATCTGTGTTCTAGGCGATTTCCTCTTCGTTTTCAAGGCTTTCATTGGTTTCTTCGCATCCCCATTCATGCTTATTTTTGTAGTTTTAAGGGGTAAGGTCGAGTCGTTCTGTGGGACCAGAGATGGTGCAAGAAATCCCTCACAACGGTAATTGGGATACCTCTCTCTCACTCCCACCATTGGCAAGTTATCCCCACTACCGTCGTGAGGGATTTCTTGCATCAGTTACACCATCCTTGTGTGGAACAATACTTTTTGTGCCATTGTGTCAGAGGACCTTGCAACGTATTTTGATTTGCTATTTAATGAATAAACCTTTGTTATATGTCTTAAACACTTTAATATCAACTTCACGAATATTCCAAACAAATTTTCAGCGCGATGTGCGTGTGACAAAAAATGTAGAGACCCTCTTATCGGACATCGCATTGGGTAATTGCGGTCATTCGTCAACTAATCTCAACCCCAGTTGACACCCAAGATCTACGCAGAAACGATCAGAACGTTCCTTATCAAAAACCATGATTCATGTAAACATTTACGAGCGGTTCCATAATTTCGATGAAAGAAGCGAAATAGGATATTCTTGGGACCGCAAGGAGTCGGGAGTACCACGCCTTCTCCTTTTTTCCTGATTATGAGTACAAGAGTTTATCGTTTCATAGAAAGACGACCGCCCGGGGAGTAAACGTTAAAAATCCATATCGATCTACTATTTGCGCCTGTTGATCATACAACGGTATGAGGGTAGTAATCTGCGCCATATCGATAAGAATAATGTCAATGAATCAAGGATAGAAAAACATGAGGAAACGGACTTTGCGTCGCGTAACTAGCAGGCGCATACAATAAATTAAGTCCATCTGTTCCGTATTATGAATATCAATTTTTTATTTCAGGATAAGTAATAGTTACCTCAAAATAAGAAATTGGCTAATGCGACGGAATTTCGCCTTCACTCTCTACTAAACCGAAGTTGAGCCGAACTCGGAACACATGGATACGGTGCGATAGTATGCGTAAGTGGAAGGTGTGATTATCTCTTGGCTGGAACCAGCACGTTCCGACCAAAATCCAGGGAAAGCCTACCCTTCGATTTCTTCCAACTATCTCTTGTAAGTTGTTAGTTCAAGTAGGCTTTCCCTAGATTTTGGCCGGAAGGTGCCGGTTCCGATCATGAAGTGGATCGAATCCAAACAGCAGGCAGTCTACCTGCAGATTCGGAGTCGCGTCCGATCGATGGCTCCTGAGGCCATCTGCTTTTACACGCTTTTCCCTATACTCTATTGTACTGACTACAGCCCTAGTTTCGCTTGTTTTCGAGTAGCTGATCGCGGCACCGGATCGGCCATTGTCAGATAGTGGGAATCCACCTTACTTCGGACGAAGATAACGTTGTTGATTCTGTTTCGATCAATAAGTGATCGGGTAAAGAAAAATATCGCACACGCGAATTAAAATGCTGACAGAACGATATTCTTATTGCAAAGTAACTTTTACCGATATCATTTTGTCAACAAATTCACCTGTCTTCGGACTGATACCCTAATCCCGTTTACTATCCGTCTGATAAACGCTACCGATTGTAAGAGGAACGTTCGTTTCCTGTGTGTCGTTCGTACCGAATAACTCGAATTTATATTCTTCAATTGGCTTCGAATCGAATCGGAACCGCAGTCTTATTTGATCTGGGGCAGATCGGAAGGTACCTTGCAATTCAAGGTGACTCGAGTTAGTCGGCAATTGTGCATTGATCGACTAACTAGAATTCTACTAATTTAATTTCACGGTCACTCCTCGAGCGTCGAGCATTCTGCAAATTGACTCGAGAAAAATTGAGAACGTGGCGTGGTCGCCGTATCGATCGATCGCCCCATTACAGACGCGTGCCGACGACGACGGTTGAAGTCTGGCGGAAGCGAACGCGTCCACAAAACAATTCGAATCGTTATGCCAACGTGCAGGAATCCAAAATACAACCTCTAATCTACGCGTACGAAGAGAGACGTTCCAGAAATGAGAGAGAAATGCGGAAGTTCGATTCGTTTCGAGCACGATAGGGAGCGTCGACGTGGAGTATAAGTGCGGTCGCACTTTCCTATTTTAGTTCACAGTACCGTTTTGCGCGTCGGATCAATGTCTCGCGTCTCGCGCCTCGCGACGGATTCGAACGTCAGAATCACATGCGTCCATTGTATCGTACTTGCACTTGTAGCTTCCATATCGATTTTACGAAAGATTCACAAAGAACTCGGATGAAGTCACGCTGCTCAGAGATCGACGAACGATTCGTCACGTTATCGAGCACGGGATTTCACTGTTACTCGTAAAGGAGAGAATCTCATCGGCGATCTCGCGTCGGAAGATACGTCGAATTCGTCGTGAGACCGAACCCTTCTCTCGATTCGATTCGAGGGTAGAAACTTCGGCCCTACAAGGGTAGAGACTCGTGACGCGTCGAAACGTAATCGTTGATCGGAAAAGCGCTCACTCGTCGAGTTCTTCTTCTTCCAGTAAAAGGCTCATCTCTTCGATCGTTCACTTCGTTCGGTTGTATCACAAATCGGAGACGACGACGCAGGGGTGTAGTCCTTTCGACGATCCTCCGCAGGACTATAATCGCGGAAACGATACAGCGGTACTGTACGCCGTACACGTTGCGCGCGCGCGCTCGCGCGCTTCCTCTACCTCCTCCTCTTCTTCCTTCTTCCCAGCGCACTGGCCGTCCCTTTCTCGATGACGACACCCAATCCGTGACACGTCACGTTGCGTCGCGTCGACGCGAGGTACTCGCTTAGGTAAGGGAGGCGTAACTGGCATAAGATCGACGCGGCGCTAGACGCCAGGTGCGCTCGTCGTTGCTCGTCATTCTACGTTCTTCGATTCCTACGAATTATTCTGTTTACCAGGTGCGCAGACGAAGACAAACGAAACGTCTCGTCCTTTGGGTCTTCTCCGTAGGAACCGGGAACCGCCGTGGTATGGTCGTAAACAAAAAAAAAATGAGACGCATCCTCTGTATAGAACAAAAATATATTTCTCTCATTTACATAACGGAAATAAAATATAACTTAAAGCGTCGTTACGCATGCGAACAGGATGAAGGATAATAGTACGAGCCAAGGACGAGCCTTGAGTCCTAGGTGTCGTGCATCGGTGTTACTGTCACAAACTGCGTTTATTTTTATCATTAATGTATATTATTTATTATAAATAAGTTAGAAACATTGATTTTATCGTGGGCATGGTAGGTTTACATTTTATACACACAGAAAGAATACCCCAACGTATTATGCTTTCAGAAAAATGTATACTTTTTGACAAAAAATGATTTTACAAATGAACTATAGCCACAAATATGCGCGTCCACTCGTTCGTTTACCCGAATCAGGCGAAACAAAGCCTGTTTGTCTCGACCGGTTCGTCTCTGCTTTTCTCCCTGTCTCTTTCTCACGTTAAAACGTATTCTCGCGCGCTCGCATCCGCACGCTGCATGCTCGCATACACCTCTCAGTCGCACGAGGTACTGCGCCTAACTCCTTTCACGCTCTCTTTCTCAATTGCCCCACGCACTCGTTCTCGCACTTTCTCGCATCGAACTAAAACACGCACGCATTTCGTAATTCGTATTTCCTTGTACCCTCCTCGTACACTCATCGAAAATCAAGCGTTATTATTATTAATATTAATATTATTATTATTATTATTATTAATATTCATTATTATTATTATTATTAATTATTATTACTATTATTATTATTATTATTATTATTATTATTATTATTATTATTATTATTTGTTATTATCTCTTAATATTATATTTTTAATCAATGTATTTATATATATATTTCTTCTCTCATATAAACTCAGTGTTCAAAACGAAATAGTTACGACACATGCTGCCCAGTGTGCGTGCAGCGTTGGCGCGGTATCAGGGTGAGACGTCCCTCGGCTACTCGCGCCACTACGTCCCACCCCGATCCACCGATCCGTCCAACATCATTCAGAGGGTTTACTTCGTGCTGGTACTCTCCGGGTTCGCGCCACGAGGCCCGGTTCCCGTCGCCTTTACATCGGCGCGTTACGTCCGGCGAGTGCTCGACGGGAACGAACGGCGGGCGGCCGGGGTCGAAGATCAGAGAATACGAGCAGCGGGCAGCGCGCTGGCCGACATGAGCGAGCGCAGGCAGTGAGCAGTTCACACGTATGATTTTTTTTTTATGCGAATACGATGCGAGCCGGGAGCGCGACTAGCGCGAGTTCTCCGAGGACCGTGCCTCCCTCCCGGCTACGCTGCGCCGTCCCGATGGGCGAGGGCCGGACCAAGAGATGACGAAGATCTATCCGATCCCCGATCGCCGACACCGGCTCATTCTCTTTTCGTCGCTCGATCCGCCCTGACGCGATCACCACCGTCCGACGGCGAACGTCGCGGAAATACCGGTGAGATCGTGGCCCTCGCCTCGCGTTCACGGCGCACATCCTAGGGAGACGGAAGCCTGCCGATCTTTCATCACCCGAATTACCTAAGAATCACATCAAACGGATGTTCGCTAAGAATTTTTGTTAATATTGGAAAGTGGTAGGGTTCCTGTGCATATGTTGCCTTCTTTCAACGCTAACTTATACTTCATTTCGTGTGTGTGTATATATATATATGCATATATACACACGCGCGCGCACATACATACATACATACATACATACATACATATATACATACACACATATATATATACATACATATATATGTAACAATATTTATACGATGATTTATGAATTGGAGTCACATGCAGAAAAAACGTTTACTCGCTTCTGGCACATAAAAAAACACTTTGGCTCTTTGCATCTAATAAAGGACTGCAATAAAAACACCACACTAGTACATGGCACTAGAATTGCTCTCACTTATGTCACCGACTAATCGTGATTTATTTAAAAAGCATTTTGTCCATCTCTCGCTCTCTCTCTCTCTCTTCCTCCACCCAAACCCCTCCTCACTCTCTCTTTCTCTCTCTTCGGTTTCTTGCTGAGATCTTTCTTTCTCTCCGCGTAATGATCCCGATCCAAAAGTAATTCACTCGGTGAGACGTTACGCGGTGCATTCACGTTTGGCATCGCTGCACTCTCCTATCGTTTCCTCGTTTTATTCCGGCTTATCGTATTTACGTGAATCGATCGTGGTACTTTGTCATATAAAAATCAGATGATTTACACAGTCCGCCAAGGCGTGATCGACTAAACTAATCTATGAAAAGGTGACGAATCCAACGAACAGAGTACGAAACTAAATGAATTTGTTGGTATTGACAGTGAAAAGGTTTAGGAAAGAACGTTTCAAGAAGTAACGCTCAGATTTTTAGGTCCATATTTTTGTTCATCGCTGTCGTCCCTCCGCTTATAAATTTTACTAATCGATACTTGGTACACTTGTAATGGAACAGCGACGGTATCTTCATGACACCACAAATTATTTTGTTCATCCTTGCAACTTCTCTCCTCTCATCCCTCTCGTTCCATCATCCCGTTTCTGACTCGACAATGTTCACACTGATACTTGGTCAGGGTATAAGAAAAGTTCTTGAATCCACCGTCCTCAGTTTTACGTATTGCCGTCTAAACTAGGTTATATTCCCTTAAGTTTGATTGTAGAATGGTGTCTTTCACTGCTGCGAACACGAATCTGATGTTCTCCGTGTCTGCAAGAGAAAATGGCGCCGGTCAACATTTATATTTCACGAACTGCGTTCTATGGTTACGAAAAAGTATTCATCCAAGGTAGGTGAACGTGCTTCTTCGTAACCATTTTAACGATAAAATTAGTTAAATATCTTACGTTAATAAGCTGGAAAAACGACGTCAAGCCATATTGTAATTAGTATTTTAACGATAACATGCAAAAAGGACACTTAGCCCTGATCAATGGACGAACATAAAACGAGATGAAGTTGCGATGCACACGCAACATGCAATTTTCCTTTTTCTTTTTCTTTTTTCATGCGGGGAAGCATCGATGCGCCAAGACATTGCGAGTAAGAGTCGCACACATCGAATGAATTAATTGGTGTGTTCACATTAGTAATGTATTTAAATTAAATGAGTACATAAATTTATATTAGAACGTTCTAATCTTATAATTAGCACATTGAATAAGTTACAGATAATTCCAGAAGGTTTTACAAAATTACACGTATTTATATAATACATATAAAAGAAGGGATGCCAAGAACTTTTTATTGCTACTTCTAGTATCTCTCTCGGTTGAGAAACAAACAGGAAACGTCGAGAAACCATTGAATCACGATCGAAGCCATGCGGTTAAACGCGTGTAGTCCATGCATTAAAACTTTGTGCAGAGAATAGTATTCCTTCCAGTGAACATTATGAGATTGACGCTCTTACAAATTAGGATCAAATATAATCACGAGATTAACCGTACCGATCTAACGATCTAAATTTCATTAAACGTAACACCTTTATGTCGATTAAAATTAATATTACGCTCCATGATCATTCGGAAGTTTTTTCATCTATCTTCTTCGTTCTTACGAAACAACCAAGCGAACGACACGGCATAGACCAACGGGGATTCTGCCATACATCTTTATACACATGTATTTTAATTCTTCGGTCTGCCATGGACAAGGGCGGATTAAGTGGCCGCGTGGGGCCCCCGGGTAGCCAAGGGGCCCCAGAGGTCTAAAAATATCTTAAGTTAAACATTTTAGAAATGAGCGAAAAGGTTCAAGAAACGCTTCTTAAAATCATGAAACAAATCTAAAAACAAAATGTTAAATTTATGGCCTCTAAATTGTATTCTTTAACACTAGAAAGACTGAAACTTAGTATATATCTATATTGCCCAAAAGCAGTCAAAATGACTGCATTGTGAAAGAATAATGTGTAAAGAAATTTGTCTAAAATTAATTTTTAATATTTTTTATATTATTTACAGTCATATAACA